ATAGATAGATAGATAGATAGATAGATAGATAGATAGATAGATAAGATAGATGATGGATGGATGGATGGATGGGAAAATAGATAGATAGATAGAAAGATACAGTGTGTGGGTGTGGTGTGGGTGTATAGTTATATATAAATACATATAATTATATAATTACTAATTTACTGATAAATCTACTGGTGAATGAAGCCTGAATGCAGAGAGGTTCCCCTCTGGGTTGCCGTCCTCTTTTCCTCCCCTCCTTTTTCCTTTTTGCAGAATATTCACAATTATATTATCATTTTTGATGCTGATTCATCAGCCTGACCCCCCACCCTCGCCCCACAAACACACACAACAGCCCTGCCAGGGAGGCTTGGCAGGGAGGGAGGGGTGAGCGGCTCAGAATGCACCCCCCGCCCCATAACACCCCCCCTGCCAGAACCTCCATGGGGCATCTGGATTCCCACACCCATAAGCCACAACCGGCAGAGCCCCATGGGTAGGGAGGAAGGTAGAGGGGGGGGGGCGGTAGGCGCCAGCGGGGGGCCTGTGAGAGGAGCCGCTGAGGAGGATGGGGGCGGTAGTCCCACCAGCACCGCCGCCACGGACCCCCCCTCCCATGGGGCTGGGGATGATGGGCGTGGGTGGCCGGGGAACCAGGCCCTCCGCCCTACCTTGAACTCGGCGATGGTGAGGCCGCGGGCATATCTCTTCAGGGCGCGGAAAGAGTTGAGGCTGCTGCTGATGGAGATCGACACCACCGCGGGGGTCCCGACCACGCTCATCCCGGCCGCCGCTTCTCCCGCTGCCGCCACGCCTCGGGCCCCTTCACGGGCCGCTCCCTCCGGCCAGCCAATCGGCGCCCCGCCGCTCGCCCCGCCGGCCAATCGGCGCCCCGCTCGCCGCGCCTGCCCCGCCTCCGCCGGCGTCCTGCGCAGCTCGGCCTTTCTTTGCTCCTGCGGAGTTTCTGCCCTCGGCCCCGCCCTCCCCTCGTCCGCCCTTGAAGCCCGGGAGGGGAGGCCGGCCAATAGGAAGCCGCGATATATCTCGCGGGAGCGGAAACGGCCAATGAGGAGGCGCGACGGTGAAGGGCGAGCAAGGGCGAAGCCTGGAGGTCTGGTGGAGAAGAGGGCAGGGTTTCCCTGGAGGCTGGTAAGCTGCGATTGCAACTGCGTGGTGCTTTTGTGCGGGTCGTGCAAGGGGGTCTCGGGGTATCCTTGCACCGGGGGAGCGAAAGAAGGGCTCCTGATTTGCTCCGGGAGAAGGAAAGACCCTGTTTTGACGCTGGCGCGGATTGTCTTCTACATGCACGACGGTTGGGGAGGATGGGACTTGCAGTGCAAAGTCCGTCAAGGGTCCCGGCCTGGGGAAGGAAGCCAGGGGGTCACTCCAGGGGCCTCACCCGTTGCAGAGCTGACCCTGATTCCTTGCAAAAGCGCAGTATGAACCCCGGTTGGCCAGAGGCGCATCAGTCGCACCCATCACCGCGTTCCCTCTTCCCATGAAAAGCAAAGAGATGCACGGGGAATAGCAATAGCAATAGCAGTAGACTTATANATGTATCTTCCTTTCTATTTTCTTTAAAGAAAAAAGGCAGTTCTTTTTCCATTTTCTGTAAAAAATCCTTCTCTTTTAATATTGTATTATTTAATGTCCATCTGGATCTGTTTCTTTGTCCTTTCCATTTAATTATGATTGGATTGTGATCTGCCCAGGTACTTCTTTCAAGTTCAAGTTCCTGTACATTACAACTCAGTTTCATTGTAGCCCACATCATGTCAATTCTGGAGTATGATAAATGTCTATTTGAATAGAAAGTGCATTTTTTTTTGTAGAATTTCTTTCTCTCCAAAAATCTTTAAGATTTATTTCATCTGTCATTTTTAAAAAGGCTTTAGGTAATGGTTTTCTATTTGTCTTTGTAATTTTTTCTGTTTTATAGTCCAAATTTTGATCTACAATTCCATTAAAATTTCCCATCATGGAAATATCAATGTAGTCCAATTCAATTATTTTCCTATGTATTTTTCTGTAGAAAATTCATCTTGTTTATTGTTAGGGGCATATATTGCAATTAAAGGTATTTTCTTTGAGTTGTCCATTATTTCCACCATCAAGATTCTTCCCTCATCATCTGTATAAATTTGTTTTGCTGGAATTGTATCTTTAACATAAAAGTCACTCCTTTTTTCTTACAGCTTGCCAATTTTCCCCTGTGAGTATTTTCTCCAATTTTAGTTGCACCAATAAATGTTTGTGCTGTTTTTGAATATGTACTTCTTGTAAGGAGATTATATCCAATTTTAATTTTCTTAATTTATGAAATATTCTTCTTTTAATTACTGAGTTAAGTCCATTTATGTTAATTGAGATCATTTTTTTCTTCCATATCTATATTTTAGAATTAGGATTTATAGCTCTAGTTGATCTCAGTTCTCGTTCTCTAATGTCAACACCACCTATAGCTCCCTCCTCTGTTTGAGCCCCCCTAAAGCACCTTCAAGTTTCTCCATCTCAACTATACATACCTCTTGAAGGTCTACCAATAGGTCTTCTCTTCCAGTCTTCTCAGCCTTTCCTCTCAGACGTTCACTGAAGAATGCTTCTTCCTTATTGCTTGTGTCTATTCTGTATCTTTGACCTTGCCATGTAAATATTAAACCTTTTGGTATGTGCCACGACTTTTTTAAGTAAAATCTTAGTCAGGAATTGATATGTTCTTCTCGTCTCTCTCACTCTTCTTGGAATTTGTTTCAGCACTACAATCTCCTTCCTCTTATATTCCAATTTTCTATCTCTTGTTTTCTGTAGAATTTGTGATTTAATTGTTTTCTTGGTAAATCTTACATGAACTTCCCTCAAGAGTCTATTTCTCACTGCATATCTTGTTTGGATTCGAAACATCTCATCTATGCCATCTATCATCTTCTCTTGGGTTATCTCTAACATATCTTTCAATAATTCTGATATTATTTGTGCCAAGTTCTCACCTTTTTTTCTTCTATGTTTTGGAATCTTAAAAAGAATTCTGGGTGATCCATCTCCCATCCCAATATTCTGCTGTTATCTTTTTCCACTGTGTTCAATCTACTGTCAATATTCTCCATTTTCTTCTCTCTTTCTTTGATTTTTTTGTAGTCTATCTTCAGATTTCATCATCCATTGTTGAATAGTTTCAGTTTTTCTTCTGTTTTAACTGTCTTTTATTTTATATTTTCTATTCGTTGTTCTATTGCTTCCATCCTCTTTTCCATGTTCTCTGTTCTTTTTTCAATGATTTCCAATCTCTTATCAATACTCTCTCCTCTTGCTTCTAGTTTTTGTATTCCTTGCATAATTGCCTCTAATATTACACCCTTGTCTTTTTCCTTTTCCTGTTGAAGCATCATCTGTATTGATCTTTACCCTCCTGCAGGTGAAGAGGAGGGGGTTGTTGTTGCAGAGCCAACAGTTGCTATTTTTCATCTTCCTTTTTGTGTTTTGGTTTTTAACCATGAGGGGTCAAAGAATGAAAAATAAAACAATAACTAACAATTAAGACAGCAATAAAAAAGGCCAAAAAGAAGAAAAAGGAGAAAGAAAAAGGGGGAAATATGCAATAATATGGAAGACCAAAAATCAGGAAGGAAAAAAGAAAAATAAGAAAAATTATTTGATTTCTTCTATGTAAAAAGTTATGAAAAGAAGAAAGGGAAAAAGAAAATAAAAAAATTGTAGAAATTTCCCTTAGTCCAGCACTCTTGATATACTCTGACAAAGAGGAAAAAAATCAAAACAGAAAAATAGACTGAGTGAAACCACAGCTTCCAAAACAAGGTAAGATAAACACTGCCACCAAAAGGGAGCAAAAAAAGAAAAGTTCAAAATCTAAAGTGAAAGCCTTTCCGAGGTCACTCTAAGCTTCCCCTTTAAAAAGAAAGATTTTTATTTATTCTTTCAAAGTAAATTTCCAGCTGCTGATAATTTCCCAAGAAACACCTGTGTTCCTCTCACTATCATATCTAGCTGAATACCCTTCAGCAGCTTCTCTCCAAACATTCATGCAAGAATAAAAACATTATTCTAAATCCACTAGGTGGCAGTGATACTTGTTTCAATCTCAATCCTTGTTACACTGTTACACTCTGCATTTAACTTTCTCTTTAAAAAGAAAAGGAGATGGTAAATAAAAAGAAAAAATTCTAGGTCAGTTCCATCTTAATTGTAGCAATAATTCCAAGAAATCCAATAAAGTAAGTAAGAAGAAAAGTGCAAGGAGCTAGTCCAAATTAAAATCAAATTGCCTCGTGAGTCCAGTCAGGCTTCCAGCATTAAAAAAAAAGGGGGGGGAGGAGACCTTCAATTAACTATTTCTTAAGTCCGCTGCTTATTCTCTCATCAATCTTTCTTTCTTTTAAGTAAAATCTCCAGGTTTTAGGGTATTCTCCCTCCAAAAAAATAGAAAATTAAAACTCTCACCAAATCGACATGCTTCTCTCCAGCACTTGAGTTTCGGTGCGGTCAGCAGTTTCAGCAGCCAAAAGGCTGGCTCTTAGTTGCTGGCAAAGGGGCCTTTTTCCCTGATTGCCAGAGACTTTGCTGGTGTCTCTGGGATCGACAGGGTGTACCCCTACCTGTCGCTGTCTCTACAGGATGGTTTAGGTCCAAATAGACCATCCAAATGACCAGAATTCAGCAGCGATCCCAGGACTCCAGGAAAGTCTGACCATTCCACTGCAACACCATGCCCCTTTTCAGGATCAACATTCTGATGTGTACTCCTGTGGAGCCAAAACTGATTTCCGCTTAATTGCATTTGAACTTTATCCCTCCACCACCTCCCTTCTGTCATGCGTCATAGATCATATTCACGAACTAGGTTGTAGAAATATAAGATCCAACTCTGACAGAAGGTATGCATTGAATCCTCCCTCGAATGCCAACCTGATAATGGTCATGCAATGCTTTACAAGTTGACATCTGGTTCCCCTCACTTCCCAAAAGTGACCTGTGTGACAAAAAGACAATTTGAATACAGGTATATAATTTAGGGNTCTTTCTTTCTTTCTTTCTTTCTTTCTTTCTCCTTTCTTTCTTTCTTTCTTTCTCTCTCTCTCCCTTTTCTTTCTTTTCTTTCTTATCTCCCTTCTTGCTCTCTCTTTCTATCTCTCTCCCTTCCCTTCCTCCTTCCCTCTCCCCTTCTAAGGCTAGGATACCCACCAGAAACAAAAACTCCTTTGGACAAAGCTGGCTTACTTATTGCCCCCCCCCTCACTCTTCCCTTCCCGTTCAGTGTCAGGGAGGCACAATAAGGTACAGGGGAGCTTCCACCCTCTCCCCTTCCTTCTCCTAACAAGCCCCTGTGGCTGTTTGGCTACAGTACCTCCCCCCAAGCCCCCCAGCCATTGCAATCAATTGCACTGTGGCTTCTGGCTGCCAGCATTGGCAGTTAGCCAATTGGCTGGCAGCTAACTGTCCGGGGTCGCCAAAAGCCCAGGATGAACTATGTTTCTATGAATGGGCCCCGCTGAAGCACATGGGATGGAGGGGTTGTGGCCCATTGTCCAGGGAGAACAGATAGGGGCGGACCAGCTGAGGAGAAAAGCTAGAGGTTAATGCACAGAGGCGGGACCCTGGAAGAGAAGTAGGCATGGCCAAGGGTAGAAGCCTAAAAGTCCCATTCTGAATTACACAGGATTGAAGGGCTTGCATGTGGGTTGAGGCCAAAAGCTCAATGACATTTATACCGCCCATCCCAAGTACTGGTGTGGTTAACTTTCCATGTGATGGCACAATGCACATAGATGCCCAGTTTGTATTTGGAGGAAGAATTAAAATAATTTTGGCAGGCTGCTGCTCAGTG